AATGCGGTTCAACAAGGAGAAATGCAAAGTGCTGCACCTAGGGAGGAAAAATGTCCAGCACACCTACTGCCTAGGGAATGACCTGCTGGGTGGCACGGAAGTGGAAAGGGATCTTGGAGTCCTAGTGGACTCCAAGATGAACATGAGTCGGCAGTGTGACGAAGCCATCAAAAAAGCTAATGGCACTTTATCGTGCATCAACAGATGCATGACAAATAGGTCCAAGGAGGTGATACTTCCCCTCTATCTGGCGCTGGTCAGACCGCAGTTGGAGTACTGCGTGCAATTCTGGGTGCCGCACTTCAAGAGGGATGCGGATAACCTGGAGAGGGTCCAGAGAAGGGCCACTCGTATGGTTAAGGGCCTTCAGACCAAGCCCTACGAGGAGAGACTAGAGAAACTGGATCTATTCAGCCTCCGCAAGAGAAGGTTGTTAGATTGGACATTAGGAAGAACTTCTTCACAGTTCGAGTGGCCAGGGTCTGGAACGGGCTCCCAAGGTAGGTGGTGCTCTCCCCTACCCTGGGGGGCTTCAAGAGGAGGTTAGATGAGTATCTAGCTGGGGTCATCTAGACCCAGCGCTCTTTCCTGCTCATGCAGGGGGTCGGACTCGATGATCTATTGAGGTCCCTTCCGACCCTAACATCTATGAATCTATGAATATGTGGGGCAGAAATAGGTAGAGGAGAAAGGACAGACACAAGTCTCTACTGGCTCTAGACTACAAGGTTTACAGTGGCAGAAGGGAAAGGGGCTCTTTAAAGAGCCTCAGGTGGTACACGGGGTCAGACTCGATGATCTATTGAGGTCCCTTCCGACCCTAACATCTATGAATCTATGAATCTATGGGAGGGGTTATGGGGGGCTGCAGCCACCCTAAAATTTGCTATAGCCCACCCAAACTCCCTTCCCAGCACCGGCACCATTCACCCCGAGCGCAGTGTGGCCCAGTCCCCACTGGGAACCCAGTGCTAGCCCCAGCCCACAGTGGCAGCCCATCCTCACCTGCAGAGATCTGAGGGCACATGCCCCCCCATGCCCTCTCAGGGGTTCATGTAGCTGCAGGAGCCACCCCACTTGTGGCTCAGTCCTGCACACCGTCCCAGCTGGGCAGCAGCAGCCACAGCCCCACTCCCTCCCCCACCGCTGGGCCAATCCACCCTCACCCCATATGTAGATCCAGGGGCACATGCCCCCTTGCCCTCCCAGGGTGCGTACACTGGTGGGAGCCACCACCCCCTCCCCGTGCCCCCGGACGAGCTGCTTGCAGCTCCATCCCGCACTCTGCACATCTGTGCAGCCCCAGCCCCACTCCCTCCCTCACCACGGGGGCCTCGATTTGCCCCCCCGCAAAACAAGAGCTGGAACTTTGAGAGAGAAGGGGTACACTTGTTAAAAAAGGTTGAAAACCCATGCTCTATGACACTGTTTCATCTCTTCATCAAAGTATGGCTTGATCTGGAAGATCAGAGCTGAGAGCCAGGGCTCTGCTTCCACCCTATATTAACCTCCCACCTTATACTAGCCAATGCTGGCCTGCTGAGGTGAGCCTTACAAGGGCTTTGCCACTGTGGGCCTTGCCATTGTTCCCAGAGTTTCTTCTTTGGTATAGTGGAGAAAGTTAAGTGGTTGTTAGCAAACTCTTAAAAACACTTTATATCAAAATAATTAGAGCTACACTCAGGACACTTGGCAGTGGATAAAAGGAGCAACTTTTCAGTGCTTCCTGAAACTATTATTTATGAAGCAGTATGTCCTACCCCCTAAAGTGCAAAGAGGACTCTCATTGAAAAGATTTTCCGTTTGTAAAGTTTCCCTGTCCATGCTATGGAATAAGGTCTCAGAAATTGATTCACATCTATTTTAAAATCATCAGGCAGAAATAAAAATATTCCTTACCTGAACACTTGTTAGGGTTGTGTATTGGTAAGCCTTTACAATCATATAATTCGCTTCAACATCAGCTAATCCCAACAAAATATATTTCCACCATCTCCTCTTCAGAATCTGTAGAAAGCTTTCATTGTCTAGAGAGAAATTTTCAATGTACAGTATACTGGTTTTAAAATGAATAATACTTTTTCAGAGCTGCTGCATTTTAAAGGTATATCTCATCTTAATGTTTTTCATTGCCCTCTCACAACAAAGATATCACAATAACAGAAAGCAGCCTGTAGACAGGCAGTAAATACTATTAAAAGCACAGAAATAGTCCATGTGAAAAAACCTGACAAGATTAGGATTGTGAGGATTAGAGGAGGTGAATAAGAAGATATAACAGGGATATTAAGTAGCGTTGGTAGCAATCCTTTTCTGCATTATTCTCCCCCCTGCCCTTATAATATGAAAATGAAGTGACATCCAATGAAACTGAAAGGGAGTAGATAAAATGAAATGCTCCTTTAAACAATGTGCATTTAACCTGTGCAGTTCATTTCTACAAAATATACTTCAGAGAAGGAACTGAGCAACACTTTAAGAAGCCTGATCATTTATATGGATAACAAAAAAATCCATAGGTTAAAATATTATTTTTCCAGACCATAAACTCTCTTCAGGGACTGAGCCAGCATCCACCTGCCAAAGATTAGACAGAAGCTTTTTCTTGAAGATCTCTTTTCCATAATTGTCCAATATGGAGTTACTTGAAACCAATTCAGAAGCTTCCAGTAACAGCCACTGTCAGATACGTAAGGCATATCCCTATCAAAATGTTGCCTGAACAGCAGGATGGGTTAGGGGGTCATGATTTCTTTTGCTGATGCAGCTAAAAACAGTAAAAGCCCTAGTGCAAGCACAGTTATAATGGTGTAAACATACTTATTTCAGCAGAGCTAATGCAACTGAGAGGAACTAGATTAAGCTATAACAGTATAAACACTTCTAACACCACAATGGTTTAGTTGAGTTGCTTTTATTATACTGGCAAATATCTACTAGTATAGACTAGTTCACGGAGGGGAAACTTCATCTCACTGAAGTCAGGAGCAAAACTATTATTCTCAGGTATATTGAGGATGTTTTAAACCACTTGTGACTATATTGGCATAATATGACCCTCTGATTTAGGGAGCCATCTCAGCCAATGGAAAACTGGTAAAACAGCTCTACTCCAGCCAGGAAGCTGATTCTAGGCATTATATATTAACATTTACTTGGTGTTAGTTTATTGTAAAAGAACAGCACTATAGATATTTCCTGTTCCTCAGGGCACTAGGAGGTATGCAATATTATCAGCTCCAAGTATTCACAAACCAGGAGTTAGCCTCCAAAATACCATGAGATATATTTTTTTTAAAATGGCTATTATATATTTCTTTTTTTTTTTACCTTCTGCATTTCTAAATCTTAAATTGTATTCAAATCATTCAAGCTTTTAGTCCTGAAACATGAGCTAGAAGCTCAATCTTTTAATGGATGCTGGGATTCTCATTTAATCTACGGCTTCCAAGAAAGGAGGTGCAAGCGTGGAAGAAGGGACAGGTGGGAACAGACAACTCTTTTTGCAGAACTTGCAAAACAATGACAAAAGCTGACAACATTAGAAATGGAAAGCAGAATTTAAAGCTTCACACACACACATTCAAATAATCTGGGAGAACTCTCTAAGGTTTGTTCTCCCGGTAGAGACACTTATTCAAATCTCCATATACAGACATTCAAATGCTGAGGCCCTGAAGAATGCAGAGCTTGTAACTCTGACACTATGCAGTGGGGGAGGTGAGGAAACCTGTGCGCACACCTCAGCATGCTCTGCAGGCTTCCTTAGTCTGCCTGTGACAGATGGCAGCAGTGCATAGTGCAGCCCTGATTGCCTAACCCAGACTGCCCATGGTCAGCCTGTGTTTCCCTAAAACATAAAGTGGGGATTGTGAAGGGGGCATACATGTTCTGCTCCCTGCTAAAGCAGCAGTGAGTCCAGCAAGTGACATACTGTGTCCCTGGGGAAGAGCAGGGGAGGCTGAAGGACTAGGTGAAGCTACCACAACTTGTACGTATATTCACTCTCTCAAGAGAAACTCTCTTGGGAATAATTTACCCAGCTGTCCACAGGTTATTTTTCTCCTGGAGAAGCCATTTTTACTCTGGGAGAAAAAAAACAAAGATTTGTACACTGATGTTTTCTCATGGAAGAGTATTGACTCTCCCATGAGAAACTGAATATCTGTATGAGGCCTAAGTCAGAACAGCCCCAAGGCTGCTTTAAGCCTGCACAAGGGGCTAGGCTTAAGTAATGGGAAGTGCAAAGGTAGCCTAAAACTGCCTTTGCCTACTATTCCTTCTACTCTCTATATGATGCCCAAATGCCAAATGTTGACAGCTTATCATTATGCTGTATGTTATACAACAAAGCACTATTAAAACAAATTATAAAATTACAATGAAATAACACCACTTGAACAAGCAATGTTTTTACATACCAGTCCTAAGTGCCAACATCGTTGTATAAACTAGAAGAAGCAAACAATAGTTGGTAAAGCTTTGGAGCATTGGAGTGTTGACTTTGTACTGTTCTGCTAAATATTGGCTTGTCACAGCAGTCCCACAGATAAATAAGGAAAGCATCTGACCCAAGGCGACTGTTTTCAAAATCTGCCTGTAAATATAAAAGCAAATGTAATTAATTTTAGAATTAAATCAACCACCAATTTTAAAATATTGCCTTTTTACAGAAAAGAAAGGCTATATCTTAACATGGTATCTAGTCACTCTTCTACTCCCTTCCACTGGTTCCTCAACCCAAATATGCTATTACCACTTAATGATGTCCTTCCTATTGATAGGAGAAAACCATTTTGTCTCTTGTAGAAGTGTTGACTTGTTTACACTGGAATCATATTTTAACTTCACAGTGGTCTTGAAACCTGCTCAGTAAAAACTCAGTAAAAAAAAGCTCAGGGCAATCTGAGCTAACTAAAATAGTTTAGACTTTATCAATGAATAGTTTTAAACTGAGGTGTTTTCAAAACTGGTCTGAGCATTTTTTCAGTATAACTCATTGTTCTAACACCCTGAGGTTGTTATATTCCTTGCTCTGCACTGGTTTTGTGTGTGCACTTAGGTTTATGTCACATGTTACACTTAGCATGTATGGAATCAATGAGAAATGATGCATGTATGAAATACAAGCATTCACACATTCAAGCAGTAAAACATGTGTTAAGTGTGCTCATACCATAGCAAAATTATGACTTCTTGTGCAAAGACTATCTCCAGTTTATATTAAGTAACACCTGTTCAGCTATCGGACTGCTCCACGGAGATAATATGAGCAAATTGTGGCCCTCACCCAGCCATGACATCAGCCAGGGACCCCTATGCTGTACCAAGTCTCCAGGTTGGATTAGGAAACCAATGTCAGAAAGAAGGATTCTGGATATTTCCTTGTCAGGTTCTTCCAGGAACAAGTTGCAAGCTGGGGGCCTGCAGCCCTAGAAGGTTCCAGGGCTGGGACCAATTAGCTAGTTGTCAGTCTGAGCCCCAGCACTGCACCAACAAACAGTGAGCCATGATGTTTAGCGATCATAGTAAGCATTACCATACAACTACTCAGACCACATTCTAACTTTAGTACCGCACAACACAAACTGTGTCCCCAGCGTGCCAGTGTCCATAGTCTAGTCAATTTAAACATTTCTGTAATTCCATTTCCACTTCATTAAAATGGTTTTAATACATACCTACCTCTGGCAGCTTGAGGTCAGTGGGTGGGCAGGTGCATGGCTGTGACTAACTTGTAAGCACCTATTAATTGCTGGGTAAGGGAAAACCACTATTTCTGTGGTCATCCAAGACCACAGAATGGCTGTCAGTTCCGTGTTCAGTCAATGTGAATTTTGTTCCTGGCCCAGATGCAGGCACTCTACCCACCTGAGCAACAAACACTGCCAGAGCAACTACCTCCCACAATGGGGAAGCGGGGGTGGGGGGAGAAGAGAGGGGAACGCATGACTGAGGTGCTGTGCAGTATGGGATGCCGGAGGACTGACCAGACACTAGTCACGGAAAGCTTGTTAGTATCCCTATACAACATTGAACTGGTTCAAAATAATACCTGATTATCATGGTACACTTTTTAAATGTTCCAGGAAACCTAAACCAAGGGTGTTCAGCCCCCGATCCACAGGGCAGATCCACTCCATGATAACTGGCCACAGGTCCAAAAATTCAGCGGCAAGAGGAGTGGTGGCAGCTAACTGCTGTTTCCCTAATGTCCAATTTCTGGACCTGCGAAAAGCCCCACAGACTGGATGCCATGGCCCTGGGAGCTAGATGTGGCCAAGTGGGGCGGCACAGAGCCCAATCCAGCCTGCAGACCAGATTCAGCCTCACCCCACTTATCCAGCCAACAGGGCCAAAAGATTAAGCAACACTGCCTTAAACCATTCTAAACTGATTTGTACATCTAGACAATTGTGGTTTACACTGCATTTAAAGACTTCTCTAAAACTGCTTAAGTATAGGATGTGTTCACACCCAGAAATAACAATCATTATCACTGATTGGGATCCTTCAGTTATTTTCCATTGGACTCTTCTGCAGCAGCAATAGGTAGAATAAATGCTCTCTGTCCAAACAGCACCTCCATTCTAAATATTCTTCTATGCCTACCCTGCAGCTAAACTCTGAAAGGGCTCTTCACTCCTCCACTTATTGCAAAGGAGTTTTGAGTATACTCCTAAACCAATAAACTAATAAGCAAATATCACTATAAAACTTGTTATCAATTTGTAGTTGATGGACTGATTGTACAGGGACATGTCTATGTTAGAACAGAACAAAGCAAGGCAATTCAGCCCCAAAAACATAATTATTATGATTTTTTTTCAGAATTTAAAGTGTCAAATTTAGGAAATTTGACCTACAGGCTGGCTACTCAGCAGACTGGAAATGTCTTGTCTAGCTGGCAAGGTATAAATAAAGGTGCTTCACTGCTAATGTAAATAAAGTTATTTTCTGCACTGCCTTAAGCATGGGTCTGTGAGAGCTGACTTAGAATCGTGGGGGAGAGGTTTTGTTTTGTTTCCATTTTTGTTTTGCTTGTTTAGGGGTTTTCCCTTTCCCTGGAGTTGCACCCACTTCTACCAACTAAGGATCTGGCCTTGCACCTTCTTAAAAATAGAAGCAAAATGTAAACCAGTGCAATGTTATCTGCAGTGGCTAATCCACAGTATTAGCTCTGTGATGATAAACTATTGTTGGTGATTTAAATGTTGACCTTTGGCAGGAGTTTGTGCAGATTGATTTCCGCCCCTATGCTTTAATCCCATGGTTCTCAACCTTTTTCCTACCGGGACCCATTTGCAAAGGTTCATAGCCTGTCCTGTCCCACACCCCCCTGGCCCTTCTGGTGCATGTCCCACAGTCCTAGCCCCTGCCCCACATTCCCAACCGGCAGCCCCCTGATCCCCCAGCCCTGTCAGAGGGGCCCCCCAGCTGCCCCCATCCCTCAGGCTGGAGCACAGTGGCTACAGCAGCTCTGGCTCATGCAGGTGGAAGCGGAGCAAGTCCAGCCCTGGCATGGGCTGAAGGGAGGAGGAGGTGGGGCTGCAGCACCACACCAGGGAGCCTGGTCACAGTCCCTTCCACCCCATGAGAAGCATATCCCAGCCACCCCACCTCCGTGAGCACCCAGCCCTGCCTCACGGCTCTCCCCTGCACCCATCTCCCACCACTTTGCCCTTCTGCACTCTCAGCATTTTCCTGGGATCAGCATTTGTCAACCTGTGCGTGGCTCACAACACTGAAATCTTCTTGCCACCCGCTTTTGGGTCATGACTCACAGGCTGAGAAACGCTGCTTAATCTACTACAGGGGTGGTCAACCTGTGGCAGGTGGCAGATCAGGGAGGGGACAGGGAACACAGCAGCAGATAGGACAGGAAGTAGAAAGAAGAGCAAAAGATTGTGTAGAGAAGGGGGTCAGAGTGGCATTTGGGGAGACTGTGGGACTAATTTGTGGTACATCTGCCAAACTGTCTGGCCCCCACTGATGTACTGTGAGCAGATCTCACTTCAGAGCTGCATGCTGGTGTAGGCAAAGTGCCAAGCACAACCAAACACACACACACATGCACTGCTGCTGCATTTTAGTGACAGCAAGCATCTGACTCCTTCTGAATACATACAGACAGGCCATGGTATACCCCAGTTGCTATGTAATCCCATCCAATGGGTTGTCACAGGGATGGCATCAGAGGTATTTACCTGTTTCATGAACAAAGCTCTTTGTAATAATAAAAGGGACTCCATTTGAACTACAACTTCCAACTTTATTTGAAGTGCCATGTGCCCAGTGCTGCTGCTTGCAGCCACAAGGTGCATCATGCACACCCTGATGTGTTGTGCAATCCCCCAAGGACTTGGAGTTTCCCAGATAAGTTTCCCCACTTCACTCTCCAAATTATCCCTACTACAATTCTTGTTCCATCCTTCAGGCTATTACAGCTTAAACTAGCTAGTACCACACTGTTATTCCCTCCTATTGAAGGAAGACCAAGCCACCTTCTGATTGATTTAGCTGCACAACTTTCATTTAGAAAGAAGTCTACCACAAAAGCCCTTTCAGCTCTATGTTTTTAAAACTGTGTTTAATGGAAAGCCATTTCCCCACGCACAATCCCCATTTTTTTTCGTTTTGCTTTGACTAACCCGATGATCTCAAAAGGTCCCTTCCAGCCCTAACCTTCTGTGAATCTGTGACTAGGCAGAAGCCCTGGAATGTGCAGTAACAGCACAAGGTCTTTGGGTTTTACTCACTTATCCTCACACAACCTTGCAAAAATCCTACTTGTTCTAATATTTCTGGTATGTGTGAATTTTCTTCATAAACGTAAAGGTAAGGGTGAGAGAGGAAATCTTGTGCCTGGGCTGGAAAGTGTTCCCGGCCTCCTTGTAAGGCTGTATTAAGACCAAAATTTAATAGCAAAACCAGTGCTGTAAAACACACTTCAGGAAGGACGATGAGATTTCACTGCTGGAGAAATTAATATAAAACACAACCCTGTGAAATCTGAGAGGGCACCCTTCTGCAATCTCCACCTTTCCCAGTTCTGCCAACACCATGATTGGTTTGGTCAAAGCTCCCTAGCCAAACTCTAGAGAAGGCACTAAGTCTACACAATCATTCTGGTTGCTCCAGCTATATCTGCTATACTTGTAAACAGAATGTATTGCATCAGCTGCTCCTGAAAGATCTGGGTGTAATTTATTTTACAACTTCACAACTCCTAATACTTCTGCTCTCAAGGAGGTCTGAGGTACAAAGATTTCTCCTGCACTTTCTCTGCCAGCCCTTCACACGCTAAGCTTTCTCCTGCTGCTGTGGAAGACCAGACATGAAGGAGTCCCAAGCAAGATTCTAGACAGAAGCTCTGCAGTGAACCGGAGGGAGAACACAGCTTTAGGGATAATGCTGTCTCCCATCATCTGGAAAAGTTCTTCACCATTTGCAGGAAGGGATTCTTTACCACCATCCCAACAAGAAGAAAACCTGCAGTGCATTCAACAGGCTGAATTCACTCATTATGTGCCAGTAATTGCTAGGTAAGGGGCACATAATCAGGAAGTCTGCCTGGGCAGAGTTGGGTTGT